GTGGTAATGAGGAGAAGGAGGTGGTTAGGTGGTTAGGTGGTTAGGTTGTTAGGTGGTAAAATGAAGTGCAGAACGACCTGTGGTAATGGGGAGAAGGAGGTGGTTAGGTTGTTAGGTTGTTAGGTGGTAAAATGAAGTGCAGAACGACCTGTGGTAATGGCTTAGGTTGTTAGGTGGTAAAATGAAGTGCAGAACGACCTGTGGTAATGGGGAGAAGGAGGTGGTTAGGTGGTTAGGTTGTTAGGTTGTTAGGGGGTAAAATGAGCTGTTGTTTGGGAAGGTTGAACGACCTGTGGTAATGAGGAGAAAGAGGTGGTTAGGTTGTTAGGTGGTTAGGTTGTTAGGTGGTTAGGTGTTAGTTGTTAGGGGGTAAATGAGCTGTTGTTTGGGAAGGTTGTTGTCGTTTTAGTTTGTTGTTGTTTGTTAGTGTCGTTATTATGTATTTATCATTATTTCTTATTTATATTTTTTATCTTCTTTATTATTTATTTATTAGTATTTTTTGTTTATGTTTTATTTATTTATTCATTTATTTATTTTTAGAGTGCTTACCTTCACTGATCTTGCGTCATCGGTAATAAACATTTCCTCCTTCACGAATTTGTATTCCAGAAGCCGTCTTTCTCCCGTGAAGAAGACTCCGCCCTGGAAAATGGTGGCAGCGGTGTACGTTGTTATTTGTTTTTGTTGTTGTCGTTTTTTGTTGTTTTTGTTTTGATGTTGTTTATTTTATTATTGTTGTTGTTATTGTTTTTTTTATGATTGTTGTTATTTTTTATTTTTCGTTATTATTATTATTATTGTTATTATTATTATTATTGTTAGTGTTTTTTTGACTATTATTATTTTCATTTTCATTATTATCATTATTATTATTATTATTATTGTTAGTGTTGTCATTATTATCATTGTTATTGTTATTTTTACCATTATCATTATAATTTTGAATAATTTTATTGTTGTCATTACTATTGATATTATGGATACTGCGATCATCATCAATGACAATTATTATGATGAGGACCAAGATGAGGTGAGGTAGGATGTGAATGTGGTAGATGATGATGATGATGATGAAGATGATGATTATTATGATAAGGACCAAGATGAGATGGGATAGGATGTGAAATTGGTAGATGATGATGATGAAGATGATCATTATGATGAGGACCAAGATGTGATGAGGTAGGATGTGAAATTGGTAGATGATGATGATGAAGATGATGATCATTATGATGAGGACCAAGATGAGATGAGGTAGGATGTGAAATTGGTAGATGATGAGGATGAGGATGATGATGGTGATGGTTATGATCCTAATGATTAAAGAGAGAGAGAGAGAGAGAAAGAAAGATAGCGATAGATAGAGAGAGGAAGAGAGAGAGAGAGCGACAGATCGAGATAAAAAGAAAAAAAAATAGCAATAAACAGAGAAAGAGAGAAAAAAAAATCATCCCCCCCCAAAAAAAAGAATCAAACCAACCCACAAACACACAAACAAACAAATTCAAGCCCAGACATGTAAACAACGACACCCACACCCTTACCTTCACAAACAAACAAACAAATTCAACCCCAGACATGTAAACAACGACACCCACACCCTTACTTTCACAAACAAACAAACAAATTCAACCCCAAACATACACACAACGACACCCACACCCTTACCTTCACAAACAAACAAACAAATTCAACCCCAGACATGTAAACAACGACACCCACACCCTTACCTTCACAAACAAACAAACAAACAAATTCAACCCCAGACATACACACAACGACACCCACACCCTAAACATACACACAACGACACCCACACCCTTACCTTCACAAACAAACAAACAAATTTAACCCCAGACATGTAAAACAACGAACCCACACCTTACCTTCACAAAACAAACAAACAAATTCAACCCCAGACATACACACAACGACACCCACACCCTTACCTTCACAAACAAACAAACAAACAAATTCAACCCCAGACATACACACAAGACAACCCACACCCTTACCTTCACAAACAAACAAACAAATTCAACCCCAGACATTAAACAACGACACACCACCCTTACCTTCACAAACAAACAAACAAACAAATTCAACCCAACATGAACCCACACCCTTACCTTCACAAACAAACAAACAATTCAACCCCAGACAAACAACGACACCCACACCCTTACCTTCACAAACAAACAAACAAATTCAACCCCAGACATGTAAACAACGACACCCACACCCTTACCTTCACAAACAAACAAACAAATTCCAAACCCAGACAACAAACAACGACACCCACCACCTTACCTTCACAAACAAACAAACAAATTCAACCCAGACATGCACACAACGACACCACAACCCTTACCTCACAAACAAACAAACAAACAAATTCAACCCCAGACATGCACAACAGACACCCACACACCCTTACCTTCACAACAAACAAACAAATTCAACCCCAGACATGTAAACAACGACACCCACACCTTAC